CTGAATTTAAAATTAATTTTACTTTTACGTAAATTCATCTTTTTATAAATTTAAAAATTGTTAAAAAATTAAATTAAAATTTCAAAATAATTTATCAATAAATTTTGTAAAAATTAATATGTGTTACTTTACTAAAATTAACTCGCAAGCAATTTTAAAAGCAAAATATAAATTTTTCCTTTCACCAATTTTCAACCTACTGCTATTTGAATTTTGAAGCCATTATGAGCATGTCTGCTAATTTTCCAATTTTTTTGCACACTTAAATACTTAATTGCCCTTCTCCCCACATATGCCCAACCCAAAACCTGATCACGATTTGATTATTTGATAAGATAGAGAGAAACTTTTGCACTTAACCATTTTCTGATTTAAATTTCCTGGGTATATGGCCTACCGGCCCCATGAAGAAAGAAAGATTTTTTTTTTTTTTTTTTTTGATCTTTTCTTTGGTCTGTGTTTATTTTTGTCTCCGTGAATAAATTTTCGAAGCACAATTTGAAATTTAGCCTTGGAGAAAAAAAAAAAAAAGGAAAGTAGCTTATAAACAAGTGCGGTAAAAGTTATTTATCAAAACTTACATAAAATTAATAAATTATTTGAGGGAGAAAAAATAAGTTAAAGTAACTTGATTTTAACTTTTAAGTTTCACTAAATAACATAAACTAAGTTTCTTTTAATTTAAATTTGAGTTATATAATAAAATGTAATTACTTCTATTGTTAAATTTATTTCAGGCACATATTAATATTATACAATTTGAATTCACTAAATGAGTATTTGATAAAATTTAAAAAATATGTATTTACTTTAAACCAACATGATTTTTGTTGAAAATGTTTTTTTACCGACAATATCCCCTTTGTTTTCCGACATGACTTTTCTCGGTGATGCTGTGAATTCTAGGAGTGTTCCCATGAAGAAAGAAAGATGTCTTCTTCTTTGGTATGTGTTTATTTTTGTCCTCGTGAATAAATTTTCGAAGCACAATTTGAAAATTAGCCTTGGAGATAAAAAAAAAAAGAAAAAGGAAGTAGCTTATAAACAAGCGTTGTAAAAGTTATTTATCAAAACTTACATAAAATTAATAGATTATTTGAGAGAGAAAAAATAATTTAAAGTAACCTGCTTTTAACTTTTAAGTTTCATTAAATAACATAAATTAAGTTTTTTTTAAATTTAAATTTAAATTATATAATAAAATGTAATTACCTCTGTTGCTAAATTTATTTAGAGCACATATTGATATTATACAATTTGAATTCA